TTTTTTTGTTTTTTCCCTTTCTCATAATGAAAAATAGGAATTAATTGTTCATATTAAAATTTAATAGAATTCAATAATAATTCTAAAAGTAAAATAGGACTTAATATATACACGCTTTTAGATACATCTAAAAATTAGGTATATTTAAAAAATAAAAGAAAAACAAAAAAATTAAGAAGTTAGAAAATACTAATGTTTGAAAATCAAACCAAAGAAACCCCCAAAAAAAGAGAAAATAAATAATAAGTTCTATTTTACTGTTAAGATTATTATTGAATTTTATTAATTTTTAATACGGACAATTAAGTCCTATTTTTCATAAAACATTCCTAACAAGTTCATTCTTCTATAATGATATATGCTATCCCAATTTTATCCCTCATTTAATATGAACAATAATTTCATAAGTATTTTTAATCTAAGCAAAATTATATTTTTTTAATTGTAAAAATTATGATATTTATTAAAATATTATAAAGCACAATGAAAAAATGATCAATAAATTTTATTTTATTTATTATATCAAATTTCAATTGACAAACTTGCTATATTTTCTTTTTTATTTTATAAATTCTTATAAAAAAATTCAATTATTCATAATAAAAAATAACGACCAATTAGTACACATTAACTTGTATTTGGGAGAAGAAAGATTAGATACATACCAATCATTGGCATAGTGCATAAGGTGGTTGCCTCAAAACTTGAACTTATAATCTCAAAGTTATTAGGCCAATGTTTCATAATAGTATATTTTATTTTAATTTTATCTTTCATTAAAATATGAATCAAAAAATTCATAAATAATTTTAATTTATTTAAAATTTTATGATAATAATATTTTTAATTGTTGAATTAAATGAATTTTCATAAACAAAAACATAAGTACATGATTCATCAACTATCTCATGCATTAACCACAGGGTGGTTGGCCTAGTGGGTGACGACTAGGGTCTGAAGGTTTACTCCCTCCCAGGTCTCAAGTTTCAGAAGGTTTGTTCGGTCCGTAAGGACTTAGTTTGGTGCACGTAAATTGGCCCAAAATACCTTATAACCAAAAATAAAAATAAAAAAACCTATCTCATGCATTGAGAAATATAAAAATTTGCCATAGTATTATTTTTCAAAACTCTTTAGAAGATTAACATAATTTAAACTTTTTAAATTGTTTATACTATATAAAATTTATAATTGGGAATAATAAAAAATGACGCATTTATACTAAAGTTTTTTGATCTAATTGTTACTTATATTTTTTTATTTTCATTAAGTTAAAATTATTTATAAATTTTTGTTTATATTAAAGAAGAAGGGTAAAATTAAGATAAAAGACATCATTATGAAGTAATAAATTTTTAAAAATTATTTTATAACAAATAGAGTTCAATTGTCCATTTTCGAATTCATGCAACTCAATAATAATCTTAATAACAAAACAAAATTTATTGATTATTTTCCCTACTATTTTCTCGTTGGTGGGACCATGACCATAAACTAGCTCGATGGTTTGACCATGACTGTAAATTGGTTTGTTGGTCCAACTTTGGCCGTAAATTGGCTCGTCTTAATGGGAGAAATCCTAGTCAAATCTTAGCCATACATTGACTCTTCTCATTTAGATTTGGCAATACTATAAATACGCTATTTATTAATTTATTAATTTATTTGTTTATTTTTTTTATATCTTTTTGTAATGAATAAAAAATCAACTTATAAGTTATATCCAAAACAATTCTTAGAGTTTGGAAATTGAATATTTTAATTGATTTTTTTAATTTTTTACGAAAAAATACACAAAAAATAAGGAAAGTTATGTAATAACTTGTAGTGACTATTTGATTATATTAGTCACTTCCCAAACAAGGCCTTGAATCACAAAATTACCAAGCACTAGAGGTGCAAAAATAGCCCGCGGACTATGGACGGCTCGAAGCCTGCTCGTGATTGGGGATGGGCCCGACCCGATTGGGCTCAAACTCGAGCCTAGTTCGGGACCCTAGGCCTGGGCTTGGGCTATCATTTTGGCATGACCCATAGCCCAATCCATCGGTCCGCTTAAGGACCACTCAAAACCCGACCTGAGGCCCAGTCCACCTGAGGTCCAGTGTCATTTTTAGTAAAAAAGAATAAACTTTTAGTGGAAAAAATTGAAAAAAAATAAAAATGTTTGGGCCCTCCTAGGCCTAGGAACGCTAGCATGGCCAAAGGCCTGGATTGCCCAAGGCTCAAATGTCCTTAGGTCTAGGCCTGGGACTAAATTTCTAACCCGTGGGCCAACCAGGCCCCGCCTGAATTGTGGCAAAAGCCGACGCGGCCCAACATGGGTCTGCCCAAGCCCGGGTTGAGCTAAATTTACACCCCTACCAAACACACATACCCACACCCATGTTGACCATATCATGTGAGAAGTTTGATAGAAATTTTAATAAAACTTTTGGACCTATATCATTTTTGTTTGATTTTATCACAAATCTCTTTTAGACCTTGGGTTTGGCCCAATGATCTTGTAACCACACTTTAAAGTGTAATGAGATAAAAGATTGCAGATTCGAGTTGATAGAAAAACAGTGATTCCTTTAATTAGAATTTGACTTTACTAAAAATTTCAAATCTCTTGCACTTCTATGCACTTACACCTTGTGTGCGCCATACTGTGTCGGCTATCTCTGTTAGATTTTTTGAGAACCAAGAACTGTCTAAAAGTGAAAATTTTTGTTATTTAAGGTCGATTATCACAACGGCAGGGGAGATTGATGCGAATGTAGCCCATAGGATTAAGGTAGGATGGCTTAAGTGGAGAAGTGAGTATGAGATACTATGCGATAAATGAATACTCATTAGACTAAAAGGTAAGTGATGGGTCATTTCACACACCAAAATTAAACACTAAATTGTACCAAATTCCTTAGAATAATGGTAAGTCCAAGTATCAATCCACAAGGACAATTGTGAAATTAAACTAATTTAAATGATAAATTCCTACTTTACTAAAAATTTCAAATCTCTTGCACTTCCATGCACTTACACCTTGTGTGTGCCATACTGTGTCGGCTATCTCTGTTAGATTTTTTAAGAACCAAGAACTGTCTAAAAGTGAAAATTTTTGTTATTTAGAGTCGATTATCACAATGCGCGGGGGAGATTGATGCGAATGTGACCCATAGGAATTGAGAGGGTAATTTATACCTAAATGGACCAAGCTGGGTAAATGGGCCGTTCTTTGGGCCACAGTAAGAAGGGCTGAATGAAAGAGGGCTTGTAGTTAGCCCGGTCCTAGTACGCCTTATTGTTATCACGGTCTGAAAGAATCTTGAGGTAAGTCCGGTCTAAGAGAAGCTTTGAATATAGCCCCGTTGCCGTACTCAAAGTTAGCTCGGTCATGGCTTATCGTGGTTATCTCGGCCAGAGCCTTGCTGTTTGTTAGCTCGGTCTGATCACACCATGGTTAGCATTGGGAGAAATCGGGGTAAGAGCAATAAATGGAAGAGCCGAACTAAAGTTAGCTCGGTCTAGTCTGCGGCTTAGCATAGCCATGCTTACCTCGGTCATATTGGAGTCCGACCATGGTAAAACCATCTCACTTGGTTTAAACAGTGAGGAGGGTGTTGAAGGATAAGCATTATCTTTTAGGACTATGACTCCTAGGAGGACTCTACATGGAGGAGTAAGACTCCTAGTAGGATTATGCCACGCGGAACCTATAAAAGCTTACATATCACCTATGGAGAGGTAAGACAACTTTTGATTCCTGAACATACAGAGCTTTTTGTCTATTTGTCTATTTTGCTGACTTACGTATCGGAGAGGTATCCAGCACACACCCGCCGAATAGCTCACGTTTGTGTTTTCAGGGAATAAAGCGACGACGTACGGAGGAGCGCAATCTTGATCAACAGGATTATACGGGAAGAATATTTCGTGCCCGTACAGGTAGGATGGCTTAAGTGGAGAAGTGAGTATGAGATACTATGCGATAAATGAATACTCATTAGACTAAAAGGTAAGTGATGGGTCATTTCACACACCAAAATTAAACACTAAATTGTACCAAATTCCTTAGAATAATGGTAAGTCCAAGTATCAATCCACAAGGACAATTGTGAAATTAAACTAATTTAAATGATAAATTCCTAAATTAATTTTGATGAAAAAGATGGTTGTTCATAACATAATAATAATTAAATTAAACAAGCGATTAAAATTGAAATTGAAATTACTGATTGTGGAAAAACCTAAGGTAATGAATTCACCACTAGTTACATAAATAAAACTTCAATTTGAGACTCAATTATGTTACAGTTTGAACAAAATAATACTTCACAACTACAAGCTCGAAGCATTTATCAAGAAAATCATCACATTCAATGTACGGGCACAAACCATCTCAAGTAGTACATATCGTTCGCTCTAAACTAGGGTAGCGACATGACTCGTCCCTCATAGTATGGTTCGTCTCATACCTTGAATATGAAATAATAGAAAACTATTGTATGGAAAGTATTCAACAATCAGAAAAAGCAGAATACTTAAAGTAATAATAAAAAATATATGTTTGAAACTTCTTAAACACCATACAATTTGTTCAAACCTTTATATAATAAAAAACAAAGAGAAAACCTAATTACATAGCTAGGGTTTCATCAAAACCCTAGAAATGGGAGCCTGGCCACTCATGAAGGAGTGAGAAGAAGTGGGGGAAGAAAAACCCTTTATGGGAATTGGCTTTGAAGATTGAGAATCACTTTTTTTTCCAAACCCTAGCCTCCTCTTTTTCTTTGAATTTTTCAGAATCCTATTCTAGCCTATTTTCTATATTTTTATACCTCTGCTGTCTTCTAAACAGGTTTAAAACAGCAGCACAATTTTAGAGGTACGGCCGTACGTGCGAGAGTGGTCATCTCATGTGCGGGAAGGGGTGCCGCACATGCGGGAAAAACCCTACGCACGTACGAGAAGCTGAGGCTCTGTTTGGCTGCGAGGTATAGGCCGCACGTGTGGGAATGGGTCTCTGTACGTGTGGGAAGCAATTTTCTACTCATTTTATGCTTCCACTGTGTACAAACCTAATTGACATTAAACATGCATAAAATGTATAGTTTGTCAAGCAAGTAAAGTTAGAAAGATCCTAATTAACGGTCTCAGTGTTGCACAATTCGACCTTAATCAATAAGTTCTATAAAATGACTATTAGACCAGTGATGTTGTATGAGATGGAGTGTTAAGCAACTAAAAAACAACATGTAAATAAGATGAGTGTTGCTGAGATGAGGATACTAACGTAGATCCATGGCAAAATTAGACAAGACAGAATTAGGAATGAGTGTATTTGGGAATGGGTAGGAATAGCACCGATAGAAGATAAGTTGACAGAAAATCAATTGAGATGGTTTGATTATATTCAACTGGGACCAACATAAGCAGTAGTGAAGAGATGCCATGCAATGACAATAGATGGAAGTGTTAGGAGATCGGGTAGGTCTAGATTAACATCGGCTAGTGTTGTGAATAGAGATATAGATCTACTTAATTTGACTAACGAAATGACCTTTGATAAAGTCGCGTGAAGAAGAAGGATTCATGTAGCCGACCTCATTTTATGGAACTTAAGGTTTGGTTTTGGTTTGATTATCTAATGATTTATTATATTTAATTTCATAGAACAATATTTGAATTTTTAAAATATTATCAAAATACAAAACTTAAATATGCTGTAATAATAGCCCATGCCTTGCATAGGCCTTTCGAAACTAGTATATATATATATATCAATGCTATGGTTCAACTCAACCCACAGAACATCTCTTTGTTCAAATCTTGTGAAATCTTGCTTTAATTGCCATGGATCTTTTTTCCTCCTAATTTTGCCTTTTTATTTTAAATAATTTACTAATAGTGACCTATATATTAAGTGAATGTTTTTTTTCGTAATTACGCAAACATTATTGGTCAATTATAAAACATATATATATTTTATTTTTTAGCAAATTACAAATACACCCATAAGGTTTGTTTAAAATATGAATCGGTCCTATAATATTAGCAGTTGCAACAGTTGCAACTACTGTTTGTTATAAATTTTAATTTAACACAATAATAAATTTAAAATAAAAAAATATTCTCCTATGTAATAATAAATTATCAAAATTATTTATTAAAAAATATTTCATATATCATTAAAAACTGTTAATTGACTTAATACTTTATTTATTAACAAAATGGTTAACTAAAAAATATTTTTCATGTCATTGAAAGTTGTTAATTTACTTAATGATTTACTTATTAATAAAATTGGTCATTTGTATATATATATATATATATGTATTTTCTTTTGCTTATTTATTAGTTCAGTAAATATCTTAGTAGTTTTTTTAGATGGGGGAATTATCTTGGTATTTGTTTTATATTTATCTGGTGAGAAAAGTTGCGCACTATTTTTTTTATATATATAAATTCAGAAGAAATGTTAAAAACTTATAAATTCATTCAAAATGATATGATAATAGAATTGAAGTTAACATCATTAGGTGTATAACAAATCAAAAAATGATATATATCATATCACATAATTCTATCATATATCTAATGATTTATTCTATTCAATTTGATAGAACAATATTCTAATTTTTTTAAAATTATCAAAATATAAAATCAAACATATTGTAATAACACGGATTTTTTTTTTTAAAACTAGTATATATATAATAATTTTGGCCCCACTAACATGCATATAATTTTACTTCAATCCTTACAAATTCTAAATGATTTTACTTTAGTTCTTTTTTGTACAATTTTTAGGTTCGTCACTAGCCGTGTATACATGTAAAAAAAATAATTGATCCTTAAGGTTCCGTTTGATTAGAAAGAGAATTTGATAGAAAGTGAAAGTAAAAGAAAATGAAGTGAAAGAAAATAAATAGAAAAGAAAATATATTTTATTGTAAGCATTTGATTAAGATGAAAAATTTGTAAGAAAAAGATAGAAAAATTTAAAAGTTTAGTTATAAATAACTCACACATTCAATTTTTCTTGTGTCTTTTGCAAGAAATAAAATATTAGTTATAATTGTACAAGAAAATTAGTTTTCTTATACTTTTCACCACTTTCAAATTAAACAAACTCATAGAAATTAAATTTTTTCCACTTCTTTTCTTTTTTATTTTTATTTTTTATTTACCTATTTCATTATAAAGCCTAAGGGATTTGTGTTCAGTGAATAGTGCAAAAAACAAAGAAGGAAACAAAATTGAAGGAAATCAAAAAGATTAAAAAAAAAAGAAAACAAAAAAAGGTGCCCAATTGATTTGAATTGGTGATTTATTGAGAATATATAATGGCTTAACTAATTTGCAGGTCCACTAAATTTCGAGGCCAACCAGAAAGAAGGGAGTTTGCCTACTTTAGTCTTGAATCCATATTCATGGACGAAGGTAGATAGAATACACGAAGCGTGAGGCTATTATTGCCATACTAGTTTTATACGCTGTAAAGAGCAACTATATATACTATCTAATGCATTAAAATATTTTATGTTACCCTAACATCAACCATAGTTTGTCTAACAAAAAAAAAAAAAAAAAAAATTGATTTAGTAATAATAATAACATATTTCAACATATTTATCTTCAAGAAAATAGATAGCCTATTTTTAAAAGCATATTTGGTATTTTTTTTAAAGATAAATATGAAGATATAACGTAATTGTGGTTTTATGATAAGTTTTATTTTATTTTTTATAAATGATCTACACACAGGGGCTCACTTAAAGAATGACTCCTGATCGGACTCAACAACAATGTCCAGTCCATTTCATTTCCAAAGGAGATAGATGGGAGATGAATTTGTGAGAGGAAAAATGAATCCCACAATGAGATCCACTTGTCCTCTCACAAAAAATTTTGACTAAAAGTCCAATTGATGGGAGAGAAGTGTTTCATCCAATGATTATGTGCATGAGCACATACAATAACATTAATTTGATCATGGTGCAATGATAAATATCAGGTGGCGAGCGTAATCTTTATAGACTTACCTGTTGGTACTGGATTCTCCTACGGAATGACATCACTTGCTTCTCAATCTTCTGATTTGCAATCATGTGACCAAGCCTATGAATTTCTCAAGAAGGTAACTTTTTAAACTATCCAATAAAAGCAACATGAAACAATGCTTTAGAGTGGCTTTTGGAGAGTAAATGAAGAACAGTCCATTGCATAAACCAGTTGTACATAATTTCAAAATTTAAGAAAACTATACATATACACAATCTTATTGTTTTGAAAACTTTTTGCAGTGGTTGATTGATCATCCAAACTTCCTCTCAAATCCAGTTTATGTGGGTGGAGAGTCATACACAGGCATTACTATTCCAATTATAGTTCAACTAATATCAAATGGTAAGAAAGTAAACGATGGGTAAGAGAAAATTTCCGAAAATTCTATTGGTATAACTCTACAATTTGCCGCTAACGTATACACTGATATGTGTAGTCAGAAAACTAAAAAGCGTATCTAAGTAATTCAAGTTAATTATACAAATAAAATTCTCATATTATATATGAAATGATGTATGATATCTTTAAACGTTATTTCACTTTAAAAAATACAAAAAAGTACATTGAAAAGTATGAATATTTAGGCCAAGTTTGGGAAGTCTCAAAAAAGTTAAAAAGTCAAAAAGTTACTCAAAAAGTTAAAAAGTTATTACTATTCACCAAAAGTCAACAATTACGGCTGCACAACTACCAATTTTAATTTTCCCTTACAAACCAATTTTTACAATTTTTTATTACATTTTTTCCATAAAAAGTCAAAAAGTTAACCCAAACATTCATATTTTCAACCTCAACTTTTTAGTCTAAAAAAACAAAAAGTACACTTATTTAGGACACTCCAAACAAACCTTTAGTAGTGTCTTTATATCTCCTTAGACATAGGATTAGATAAAGTAGACACTTTAGACAAATATCTGCACTAGACACAGGCTTGCTCTGGTCCAAGGCAAGCAAGGCTGCCGCTTTGAGCCCCTTAATTTTATTAAAATTTAAGGACCTCAAAATAGTTTTAGTCAATGTAATATTAATAGTCCAAAACTGAAGGCCCAATCCAATATTCTTTTACTTCACAACACAGATGACTAAAGGCCAAAACAAATTTCGGGGTTCAAATTTAAATTATAAAATATATTGGATAAAACTTGCAAATAAGAAATCTTTTTACCACTTGACAGGTTCCACAGTGTATTCTCTTCTCCCATAGACACAATCTGACTCTTGGTTCTGAAAGTCCATCGATTAAGGGGTAAACCGTAGGTCATATATACCGTCAGCCTTGGCCCCCAAAAAACATAGGACTGGCCCTGATTCGACACTCGTACGTACGTGATTCCATATAATATAAATATATGTTCAAATTGGTAAAAATTAAACTTTGTAATAAATTAATACTATTTAAAAAATTTAGGATTTAAATAATTAAAATGTTTTGGTTTAATTTATTATTGAGGTCAAACTTTGGAATTTTTTTATTTGTTTATTTGTTTTGTAATTTCTGAAAAAATAAAAAAGAAATGAAAAGGAAAAAAAAAGGACTCGGCAGTAATTTGAAGAAGGGATTGATCAAGTGTACTGTGTTGCAATGCAGGAAACGAAGTAGGCATTAAACCACTTATCAATCTAAAGGTTTGTACCTCTTTCTCTTTGTATCTTTTTTCTGTTACAATAACTAGGCCACTTTTAGATTGTATCTTTTGGATTTTTTTTTTCTTATTTTTTATTTTTGGGTGAGCTGGATAGTATCGTTTGGGTTGATAGAAGCATGAGAATTAAATTTTAATGCTTTACAAAGTTACAAAGTGTTTTGTTGTGATTCTAAAGGAGTGGGGCAAATTATGTTAGTAGTTTCTATTTGGTTTTATAATTTTAATTGGTTTGATTTTGATTCTGAAATTTATCTCAATTTGGTTTAACTGATTATAACTATTAGCATTATTTTATAAAAAATGCGTACACGAGTGGAATGTCTCTTGCTTTTATGATTGTAAATTTGATCAATTCAAAGAGTAAACATCAACCAATTCAGTGATAATTTTCGTAAAAAATCATAAGGGCATTGTAAATTGAATCAAATTGATACAAAATCTAAAATTGAATATCAAAATTGAACCAATTGAAAGTGTAAGTGTCAAAATGATACAAGAGTTGACATAAGGATTACTAGTGTAATTAAAAAATATATATATATATATATATAATTTTCATATATAATGATACATTTATGAAGATAAATTTGTTTACAAAAATGATATTGACACATAATTCTTGTTATTTATTTATTTATTTATTTGCATAAATTATGAATAATTTTTCTCATTCTGAAATGGTTTAGGGATACCTACTTGGCAACCCAGTTACAACTCCTGATGACAGCAATTATGCAATCCCATTTGCTCATGGAATGGGACTTATTTCAGACGAACTCTACGAGGTGCTTTAATACTTCGAAATAAATTCAATCTCTCTTTTAGAATCTACTCAAATATCTTCATTTAATGTTATTTCATCAGCAATTATCACAAATCACAATTGTCCCACATATTTTTAAATAAAATGTTGATCAAACTAATACTCCTCACATGTGACGTTGTTTCATAGATAAAGAGAACAGACTAAACAGATTGAGTGCCTAATGGAAAACACCAAGGATCCTCTAGAGTGAAATTTTCCTAAAGTTTCCTAGAGTGCTATATTGTGTGGTTGAGATTTACTGGCAAGTCACATCAGAAAAATTGATGTGACTTGCCAGTAAATCTCAACCATACACTGTAGCATTTTAGGAAACTTTAGAGAAAAATCACTCTAGAGGATCCTTGCTCAATGGAAAAGGTAATGAAAGAGATCATGAAATACCAACACTGTGAAATATATGCCGTAGCGGTGTCAGACAATGAGATAAATATGGGACATGCCAATAGGTGTCCTGTTCTTTAATTAATTTGTTTTCGAGCAAACATGTTGGGGATACACCAATTAAATCCATTTTTCTTTTTTGTTAATGCATTTGATGGAGGTTAGATTTTGAATGGTTATTATTTTTTACTTAGATTTAAATAATTAATTGTCCATCTATAAAAGAAGACATAAATGATAAGAGATAACATAAGAGTGAGATTTATTTTTAAATATCAAATCGGCATTAATTTTTGTTAATTTTAATTATTTGTGGATGATATTAATTTTATAGCAATTAAAAATATATATAATATTTTTTTGTTGTCGTGTTCCTCTTGTGTTTGAGTCCTTATTTTTTTGACAAGTTAAATTACACTAATCTCCCTTGAGATTGGGAAAAAAAAATAAAAAAAAATACAATAAATCCTATAAATTTGGCATAATTTCTGATAACTTGGTATTTGGCACAAATGACTGTCTAATTCATAAGACTAATCCCACCGTCCATCTGTGGTGGTCCCAATTAAAGTCAAGGTAAAGCCTCGTATAGATTGGCTCCTCCAATAAATTGTTTGTACATAAGTGGCATGTTTGATTGGAAGGATTAAAGCATGGGATTAGGATTATTAATCCGTGGGCCCAATCATCCTATGTTTGTTTTGACATTTTAGTTTAGGACTATTAATCCAATGGATAATTAATCCAACAAATTTGTAGGATTATTAGTAATGGGGTAGGGGTGAGATAGTTAATACCACACTAATTTGATAGGATTATTAATACCTCACTATTAGTATTGTGAATCAAACATGACGAGGTCTTGAACCTAAAACTTTGGAGGGAGCATACCCCCAAACCCCAAGCCCCAAGATTGACCACTAGGCCAATCATTTAAGGTTACAAATTTGACATAATTACATTGAATTCCCTTAAGATTGTAATTCATATAACGCTTGGCCCCCTTTTCATCAGATTAGCTATATGAATGAAAAAAAAAAATGATATTATCATCTTTTTCATATTGAAATATATATTTTACCTATCATTATGTTTTTATACCATCTGCATTAGTTTTGAACTCTTTAACATTACTAAAAGGGAGGTCTATATAATTATGTCAAAATTGTAAGACTTGTTCTATTTTCTCTAAAACTCAAGGGAGATTAGTGTAATTTATTCTTTTTGAAATCACTATATCGAGTCTCCATGTCTGTATATATGTCCATACTTCTTAGGACGGAGACCATATGTGAATTCTATTTTTCTAGTCATTGCAAAGAAGCTGTCAAGGAGAGTATTCGAATATAGATCCCAACAATACACGGTGTTTGCAGGATCATCAGGCTTACTCTCAGGTCAATATATTATATTCTATTCTACAAACCTTTCCATTACCTTATTGTGTGCCTTTTCTTGGATACTAAGTTGATAAAACTTCTTTGTTTGTTTTTGTAGTGTATTGATGGAGTTCTAAAATCTCAAATTTTGGAACCATCATGTGGTTTTGCTTCTCCAAAACCACAGGAATTGTTTAGTGAAAGAAGATATGTCGATGAGAAAAACATAGAGCTTGTTGTTCGTCAATCATCGCCTTGTGATTCTAGTCGTGTAAGCCCTCCTAACTTTTCCAATAATTTGCTCCCAATTTAGACTTAGCATGGTATATTCTTTAAAAAAATGAAAAATTAGTGGTAATATGCTATGGCGTTAAGAAAAACAAATGGATTAAATTTTGATTTTTAATAAGGTTTCATAAGCTATGGTCTATTCTGGATTCAAAATTTTATATCAATACCGACTGAATTGACTGAAATATTATATTTTGTGTGTTATGACTTTTTAAATATTAGAAGATGAGTTATCAATTTTACACATTTTACAATAAAGGAGAATGACTTAATTAGTGAGGGATTCCCATGTAATTAATCCGGCCAAATTGAAGAACTGCAAAAATGGCTTTTGTCCAGGGCATGGTCTAGTGCGCTAAAGTTCAGTCTATCAAAATCTTTTTGAAGCTTAAAATATTAATGTTGGATCTGCCAATTGTAAGAGTAACTCCAATGGGGAGTTGAGTTACCATACCTATATTATAGCAGTCGGGTGCTTTAATGAAGCTATCATTGAAGTAGCTAAATTTTAGCATTGCTATCCTTGACAAGTATTCCATAAAGTAGGTGAAGAGCAGAAGGGCAAACCTCAACGGAAACCTTTCACCATGCCACATGTTTGGAGCAAGGTTGCCAAACTTTTACATTTTTGTTTTATGGCATAGCTAAAATTTGACAATGACATTCAACATTGTTGATGCTCTAATATAGCATTTGAAATTGCACTGATTTTATCCCAATGTATGGTTTGATAAGGAGATTATCTTATGACTATTTGATTGACATCCTTGATTGTAGATCAATGCGTACAAACTGTCCTATATTTGGAATAATAATGATAGAGTTCGAGAAGCACTCCATATCCGAAAGGTACATTTGAAATTATTTCTTTAAAATAATTTTTTTAAATATAGCTATATTGAAAGAAGAATTCTTATTAGTTACAATGTAACAGTGTTGACTGGATCGAGCAAAACATAATAGAAATTCAGAGATGTGGTAACTCAAAAACAAGCCATAATTGAAGGGAGTTTATTATAATTTTTTCCTTTTTAAAATATCATTAGCTGCAAAAATAAAACATCGTATCATTGTGAACCAATGATATCGGTCATAACTAATACATATTTTGAATTGGCCAATACACATGCATTTTTTATTGGGTAAATCACATTTTAGCCCCCTCAAATATTGTCCAATATCGTTTTATTCTTTAAATTAAAAATTGTAACAGTTTAACTCCCTCATCTATTAATTTTTGTCAATTTGGACATTTTTGACAAAAATGCCTGTTTAGCTATTGGATAATTTGCAGTTTACCTTCTTAAACTGTCACCCAGTATCACTTCATTTTACCCCTCAACTAAAAAATGCTACATTTTTCCACCTTGAATTATAAATTTGTATCATGTAAATATTCTTTTAAGGACATGTTTCTTAAATAGATGATAATATTTTTATGTACCTCTAATTTAGATGCATTTAAAAAATAAAATATTTATGAATAAATCTAACAAAAAGTTCACTAAAGATAAAAGAAATACAAAAGTATACCCGTTTTAATTTTTTTTTTTTATAATCTTTTTATCTTTTAGTTTTTCATCTTTTGTGAACTTTTTTTTTAAAGATTTTTCTTCACAAATATTTTACTTTTTAGGTGTATTTAAATTAAACGCATATAAAAATTTAAGAAATTTGTTTTTGATTAAAATACGAAAAAGTTTTATTGAAAACAAAATAACTCAAAAACTGTTGTTGAGTTGAAAAACCAAACTAAGTGTAGTATTTTTTTTGGTTGAGGGAGGTAAAGTGATAGTTTGTGATAGTTTAAGAGAGTAAAGTGTAATTTATCTCAATAGATGAAAGTGGACTTTCGTCATTAAGATCCAAATTGAAAAAAAAAAATTAATAAATGAGCAGGATTAACTGTTACAATTTTTAGCTAAGGGGTTAAAATGATATAGGCAAAGTGTAATTTGCATTTTTTTTTTTGTTCACCGATTTGTTGAGATGTACTGATAACAGGGAAGAGGAAGGAAACATACATACGTCTATATTTAAAACTAGGGTAAAATTATACAAATGATCTCTGTAGTTTATACGATATGTCAATTTAGTCCATGTTGTTTTAATTTGCTCAATTTTGCCCCTTAACTTAATATGTTGTATCATTTTAGTCCAATAAATAACAGTTGTTAAGTTTGATGGACGGAAAGTCTACACAATGTGTCAATTTAGTCCCTATTGTTTTAATTTGCTCGATTTTGACAGGGACCAGATTGACACATTGTGTAAACTACATGGACCAAATTGATACATAGTTTGACTTTCCAACCACCAAACTTAACAACTGTTATTTATTGGACTAAAATGATACAACATATTAAGTTAAGGGGCAAAATTGAGCAAATTAAAACAACATGGACTAAATTGACATATCGTATAAACTACAGAGATCATTTGTATAATTTTACCCTAGTTTTAAATATAGACGTATGTATGTTTCCTTCCTCTTCCCTGTTATCAGTACATCTCAACAAATCGGTGAACAAAAAAAAAAATGCAAATTACACTTTGCCTATATCATTTTAACCCCTTAGCTAAAAATTGTAACAGTTAATCCTGCTCATTTATTAATTTTTTTTTTTCAATTTGGATCTTAATGACGAAAGTCCACTTTCATCTATTGAGATAAATTACACTTTACTCTCTTAAACTATCACAAACTATCACTTTACCTCCCTCAACCAAAAAAAATACTACACTTTGTTTGGTTTTTCAACTCAACAACAGTTTTTGAGTTATTTTGTTTTCAATAAAACTTTTTCGTATTTTAATCAAAAACAAATTTCTTAAATTTTTATATGCGTTTAATTTAAATACACCTAAAAAGTAAAATATTTGTGAAGAAAAATCTTTAAAAAAAAAATACTAAATACTATATATATATGTGCTCTCCTTTTTTTTTTTTGTATTTTTTCCGTATAAATATTTTTTTT